ATGCACGAGAGATCCGACAACGAGAGCGAGGGCGACGACGACGAGGGCGACGACAACAATTGCCACGAAGGCGACGAACACGACGAGGACGAGGACGACAGCGGCGACGAGGACGACGACGATAACGACGACGCGGGCAACGACGACGATGCCGTCGAGGACGGTGATGCGAGGGCGACAATGATGACGACGATGAACGCGCGACGACCCTGAGGGGCGGGCCGGGCGGGCGGACTCTGACGGATGGTCGGCGGGCGGACCCTTGTGGTCGGGTCGGGCGTGCGGACCCTAACAGGCTGGTCGGGCGGGCCAGTATTGTAGTGCGCAATCTTTTTTTTTTTCAGCGCAACTATTTTGGAGAGGGGGAGGGAGGGCAGAGGGGAGGACGCGAACCACCGAAGAACAGAATACCACTCGTCTCACTCGGTGCAGTCTGCGACTACCGGCGGAAAACGCACAAGCCGAAATGAGACATGCGGAAACAAGCTGACTGTAGTAGAAAATTTCCGTGTCCGTCGCGCGGATGCTTCTATGGAATCGCGGCTAAAGTATTAACTCGCGCGCGCGTACCCCATACCAGTCCAAACTGGCGGGACTCGCACTGGTGCCCAACGCAAGTGGAGAGGAAAGCGAACGAGGAAGAAGAGGAGGAGGAGGAAGAGGAAAGGAGCGAGCTCAAGCGACAACCGTCCGTGGATTACCCTACAGCCTGCACGCCGAGCATTGGAAATATGGCCTGCCCCAGGCAACCATCTTCGGATAGCCATTCCAGACAGCTGCAGGTAAACTGTGAACTCAAACTCGTGCGTGCGTAGACCGATCTCCACGGCCAGTGCCGGAGAAAGTACCCGCACAGAGGACCCACACGAGCGGAGATCAGAAAAGCCAGAGCAAAGCCTCATGCCTAAGCAGAGGAGCTACGCCAAGTGTGGGAGCGAACGATGCTGCAGGCAGGTTGAAACATCAAATCTGTTCGAATACAGCTGGGGGGAGAGGAGAGAGGAGCCAACGAGGAGCGAAGGGGAGGGCGAACTGCGCCGGCAGGATGTGGCAGCAGCTCGAGCCCGCAAAGGGCCAACCGCGAATTTCTGGACAAGACGGGGCAAAACGCCCGGCAAGCACGCTTGGCGGGACGCCGGCGCCGCCCGCGCAGAAGCGGCGGGCCCGCGGGCAGGTGGCGTGCGCATTCGGGAGATCGAAGCACTCCTTCAACGCAGCACGAACTGGGAATGACAAACAACTCATGCAAGACATCATGCAAACTACCACTGCGTAGAAGACTCACCACCACCGAAAACAGAAGAGGAAAGCGAGAGCGGGAGGAGGCGGAGGACGGAGGCGGAGGACGGAGGAGGAAGGGGAAGAGGACCGCCCTCGACGAGCGTCTCGGCAGCATCACTGGCCCTCCGGCCCGCTCGACAAACTGCATCCCAGTTGAAACAAAGTGGGGGTGAGGAGGGGAGGCGGAGGACGGAGGCGGAGGACGGAGGGGGGAGGGGAGGAGGACCGCCCTCGACGAGCGTCTCGACAGCAACACTGGCCCTCCGGCCGGCCCGACAAAACTGCATCCCGGTTGAAACAGTGTGGGGGGAGAGGAGGAAGAGGACGGAGAGGGGAGGGGAGGAGGACCGCCCTTGACGAGCGTCTCGGCAGCAACACTGGCCCTCCGGCTGGCCCGAAAAACCTGCATCACGGTTGACACAATGAGGGGGTGAGGAGGGGAAGCGGAGGACGGAGGCGGAGGAGGAAAAGGGGGGAGGGGGAGGGGAAACTGCTAACGACCTTGGGCTGCTACAGGCGAGCCACCACCGCGCTCCGAGCCTCACCTGCCTGCCACGGCCGCGCGCCGCCAGATGCTCGAAAGAAGTCCCTCCGATGACGCGTGGCCAGCAACAGCGTCACGTAGAGCTTGCTGGAGAGCCCGCGCGCCTTCAGGAGCCGGGAGACCCCCGGCGCGGCGCGCCGCGTTGGTGGCCCGGTAGGCGGCGTACGCACCGAGCGCTCCAAGAACCACCATGTTCTCCTCGTGCTGGGCGTCGTCGATGCCGATCCAAAGTGGGAGGTACCAGTCACGGTGGGTGTTCAATGAGCTGGTGAGCTCCCTCCTCACCACGGCGCACCGTGAGTAATGCTCGATGCTGTCGCGTCCGCAACCACACCCCAAAGTACAAAAATCCTGAGGTCCATCACGTTGCTGAAATCGACGTGCGGTGCACCAGCCGTTCCAAGCAGTACGGAAAACGGCAGCGATGACACGAGGCGGCACCAGGCGCCCAAGCGCCTGAACGCGTTGAAGGAATCTGTCTGCCAGCACCCGCGGCGTTGGCAGCCCAGGCTCCCGTGGAAACTTCCAACGTTCCAGCTTGTCTCTGACGCGCAGATGGGCGCGGTCCTGGTGCAGTGAGCGCACCTGCCGACGCGCCTCCCGCTGGAATGAATGCCGGGCCTGCTCCCACGCCTCGGCCGGCAGCGCCTCAGGACTCTGACCAGTCAGTGCAGCGACAATTCGAAAAAAAAAAAAAAAAGTATTGTAGTGCGCAATCCATCCAGCGAACATCAACGAGGGCGACGCCGACAACGACGAGGGCGACGACGACGACGACGACGACGACGACGACGACGACGAGGGCGACGACAGCCACAACGACGAGGGCGACCGACGAAGACACCGAGGACGACGATGAAGACGACGTCAACGAAGGCGACGACGACGACGCCGACGACGAGGGCGACAACGACGACGACCATCCTGCGAACATGAGAGCCCAACCCAAAAGCAGTTTTTTTATGTTTCTCCCTCTCCCTGGCACCTGCCCGCTAAGCCTACGAACCAACCTCCTTTTGGGGCTTCTTTTCGTACCAGCTCCTGAGGACACATTCAGCAATGTACCCGGCAGGGCTCCGAGTCACCTATCCTCGTCACGCTCATCCATTGCCTCCAATATCTAAGTGCGTGTCGTGTCTGTTTCTCTAAGGTTGAAGTGCGTGTCGCGTCTGTGCCTCGAAGGTTGAAGTGCGTGTCGTGTCGGTGTCTCTGAGGTTTCAGTGCGTGTCGTGTTTGTGCCTCTAAGGTTCAGGTGCGTGTCGTGTCTGTGTCTCTAAGGTTGAAATTGGAGTGCGTGGTATGGTGTTTTGGGCATGGTGTTCAGAAACGGCGACTGGGCCCCCCAACGGGACCACCCGGTCCACCGGACCACAGAGAGCCCCAATGGGGCCACAGAAAGCCCCAACGGGCCACGGAAAGCCCCAACGGGCCACAGAAATACATTTTCTCCACCCCGTTCCCCCCCTATTCGTGGCCCGGGGTCAGCCCAGGCTCCCCTTTCAAAGGGGGGGCTTTCGAAGCTACATCCTCCCCGACCTTCTGATTGGATGTTGCATCTGGGGGTCTATCTGGCTAAAGGAAAGAAGGGGGAGGGGGCCTGGAAGCTGCCCCCCCCTCCTTTTCGGGGCTTCGGAAGCTACCCCCTTCCTCCCCTCCTTCTGTTGGCTTTTCCAGCTGGAGGGCCCTGGCTGAAGGGGGGGGGATCGAAACTACTTTTCCTCTTCGCTTTTTGGCGCCCCGTTGGTTTTCGGCGTACTTGTGGTTTTCGGCATCTCTTTGGTTTTCGGCGCCTCGCTGGTTTTCGGCGCCCCTTGGGCCTTTGGCGCCCATTTGATTTTCGGCGCTCCTTGGGCTGTCGGCACCGTTATAGTTTTCGGCGCTCCTGTGGTTTTCGGCGCTCCTTTGGTTTCCGACGCCCCTTTTGGCTTTCGGCGCCTCTTTGGTTTTCGGCGTTGCTCTGGTTTTTGTCATCTTTTGTGTTTTTTCGCCCCCTTGGCTTTCGATGCCCTTTCGGTTTTTCGGCGCTCATTTGGTTCTCGGCGCCCTTGTGGTTTTCGGCGCCCCTTTGGTTTTCGGCGCCCTCTTGATTTTCGGCACTCTTTTGATTTTCGGCACCCCTTTAGTTTTCGGCGCTCTTTCGGTTTTCGGCGCCTCTTTGGTTTTCGGCGCTCCTGTGGTTTTCGGCGCTCCTTTAGTTTCCGACGTCTCTGTTGGTATTCGGAGCCTTTTTTGGTGTTCGGCGCCTCTTTTGTTTTCTTCGCCTTTTTGGTTTTCGGCGTTCGTTAGGCTTTCGGCGCCTTTGTTCGACGCCCGTATGCTTTTCGGCGCTGTTTTGGTTTTCGGCTCTCTTTCGGTTTTCGGCTCTCTAGTGGTTGTCGGCGTCCTGTTGGTGTTCGTCGCCCCTTTGGTTTTCGGAGCTCCTTTGGTTTTCGGCGTTCCTTTGGTTTTCGGCGCCCTTTCGGTTTTCGGCGTATCTTTGGTTCTCGGCGCCCTCGTGGTTTTCGGCGTTCCTTTTGTTTTCGGCGCCCCTTTGGCTTTCGGCGCCCTTTCGGTTTTCGGCGCCCCGCTGGTTTTCGGAGCCTTTTTTGGTTTTCGGCGCCTCTTTGGTTTTCGGCGTTCGCTAGGCTTTTGGCACCTTTTGTTTTTCGGCGCCCCCATGCTTTTCGGCGCTGTTTTGGTTTTCGGCTCTCTTTTGGCTTTCGGCTCTCTTTTGGTTGTCGGCGCCCATTTGTTTTTCGGCGCCCCTATGCTTTGCGGCGCCCTTTTTGTTTTCGACACTTCTTTGGTGTTCGGCTCTCTTCTGGTTGTCGGCGCCCTGTTTGTTTTCGTCGCCCTTTGGTTTTCGGAGATCCTTTGGTTTTAGGCGCTCCTTTGGTGTCGGCGCCCTTTTGATTTTCGGCGTTCCTGCGGTTTTCGGCGCCCCTTCCTTAGGTCAAAGCGGGAGTGGCTTCCACCCCCCTTTCAGCCCAAAAGGGGGGGAGGGGGTGTGGGCTTCCGAATGGGCAGGTTCAATGGGGAGGGGTAGCGAACAAAGCCCACCCCCCTTTGGAAAGGGAGAGGGGGGGGGTGGAGGGGTCAGGGTACGGGGGGGAGGGAACCGGGTTACTTTGCAGAAGGGGTTCTTGCATCCTCCCTCGTCCTTCAACTGCTTCCTCGTCCTCGTCCTCCTGCGCAGGCCGAGGCGGCGCTTCGTAGGGCCCTGCGCCAGCTGCTCGAGGAGCAGGCCGTCGACAGGGCAAAGGCCAAGGTGCGCAAAGGGAAGGGGCCGCCTCCTCCCCCGCCTCCTCCATGCATGTTCCGTTTTGACAACGTCCCCAGACTTCCTCACCATTAATGGTCTTGAAGCTTGAACTTTGCAACTGTTTTTCGGATGGGGGACGGTTCCGTTTTCAGATTGTGGCTCTCGCCGTAGCGCGGCGCACATTTGTCTCACATGGTTGCAACAGTTTCACTGATGGAGGGCGGGCCGTTTTCAAAATGTGGCTTTCGCCTTAGTGCCGCGTGCATTCGTCGTACAAGTTTGCCGCATATTCACGGATGGAGGGCGGGCCGTTTTCAAATTGTGGCTCTCGCCGTAGCACGCACATTTGTTTGAAACAATTGCAGCCGTTTCGCGGATGAAGGGTGGCTCCTGTTCAAGGTGTGGCCCTCGCCGTCGCGCCGCGCACCTGTGTTTTCAACGCTTTCAGCAGTTTCGAGGATTCGTATGCTTGTAGTCCCAGGGGTGATGTTCTGGCACGGGTTACGATTGTCAGGTCGCAGTAGTCAAGTTCATCCGCTGTGTTGAAGTCCTAGGAACGGTGCTCTGGCACGATTGACGCTTTTTCAAGCAGGTCCCTTCCAATGGGACACTTTCGGGACTGGAAATAGTTTTTGAATGGACCTATGCAAAGGGGAACTCTGAGGGAGGGTTTATAGCATCATCGCTGAGGCGTCTTGGGCTTACACTCTAGTTACCATCGCCAGCAGTATCATCATCATCATCATCATCATCATCATCATCATCATCATCGTCATCATCATCATCATCATCATCATCATCAGCATCATCATCAGCATCAGCATCATCATCATAATCACAACCATCACCTGCACAATCAGCATCATCACCACCATCATTCGCAGAGTCTGGTTCAGCTCGTCCTAACCTGTCGCTTTTCTTAAAAGTTGCCGTGGGACGGACGCATGCATGTTACTTCATTATTTATGAGGGGCTGCTCTTCCAGGTCATCTATCTCAACATGGCTTCCATTGCCAGCTCTTTCTCTTATTTCTTTGAGGGTAGCTCCCTGCAGGGATGCCCGCTCAGCGGCTTAGTTTTTGCCGTGCCGACGTGCCCGTTCGTAGAGAGGATGAGACACATCGTGGACCTCCACAGGCTTGGCACCATGCGTATATGCGCAGACAGATGCTGGAGCCGCGGTCTTCGATGTCAGCACATCGAGGGAGTACGCCAACACGTTCAACTACATGCGAAAATTTGCTGGCCTTCGGCTGAACACACAAAAAGTGCCAACTCATTTCTCTGTTTGCCTAGTTCGCTATCCAGATGATCGAGTCGACCAGAGGCCGGCTGCAGGCTACCGTCCCTGGGTCCATCCAGTTTGCCATCGTAAGGGCTTCGGCCCACCTTTGTTGTCTCATGGGGCCGAGCGTCACGGACTAGATGTGGGAGGCCCCGGCGAGGAAGTGGCAGTAGCGTGCCGACGCGTTCTCCAAGGCCAAAGGCTCCACCACCACCACGATCAAGAAATGCAACATCAAGGTCAAGGCTGTTCCTACCATGCTGTGCGTCGCCCAATTCGGACTCCCGTGGCGCGCTCTCGTGCAGGCCAGGAACGGCATCATCAACAAACTTTGGCACGTGCCGCCGTCAACCTTCACCACTCGTGGGATGGCACCTATCCGCGCCGCGCTCACGACGCAAGAGTGGCAAACACAGTTGGCCGGACTTCGACGGGCTGCCTTCCAGGCTGTTCTGGACCGTTCTCTCGCTGGCCTCATGCGCCTGGCGGAACCGTGCGCTCCACTCTGGAAGATGCCAGCAATTGCGTGGACATTCGAGCGTGTCGCTTCCAAGCTGCCTTTGCCCGTATCCAAAGACCTCCAGAGGGCTATGGCAGCCGCCGTCAACGAGATCACCAAGGACCCGGACTCGAACCAGGGTGTGCTGAAGAGAGCATGCGCAATGCTAGAACCAGGATTTTCAGCCTAGCGATCGGGACATGCTCAAGACCTCAAGGCCCGTCTGCACCGCCACTGGCCTGAGCAGACCAGCGACATCAATGACATTGAATCTGGCTCCCTAAGTCCCGATGAGGAAGACTTGCTTTCGTATCTCGCCCTCGCCTCGAAGATCCTGGATCGGCGGCTGGACGGACAGCGCGAGGATGTACGAGGAAATTGTTCCCTCGTGCCTGCTTGGCTGCACAGCGACGGACGGCTGGACTCACTACGCCGACTGCCTGCCGCTGTGGTCTAGTGCTGCGTACTCAACGCTGGGCGCGCCCCCGCCCGCCCGGAGATTCGAGTGCACTGGCCTTCATGCCGAGCCGGTTGCATACCTCCACCCAGTCTTGATTGTTTTCGTTGCCGATCACACGTGGGAACACGGATATCCCCAAGAAGGTCTTCATGCACCAGAGCATCAGGATTATCAAGTATTCCACGCTCTGACGGACCCCCTGGTCGATAGTAGCCACACGTCCCGTTCAGTCAACACCCGGCTGCCCGCAGCTGGTATGGGCACCATTGCCACCATCATGAGGATGATCTTCACCATCGCCACCATCGTCGTCATCATCATCGCCAGCATCATCGATTCTCCCCCTCGTCGCGACGGCCTGGCGTGGCTCGGATAATGGGTCAAGGTGGTGCCCACGATGGGATGTGCGGGACCGTCTCGAGCGAGGGATGTCGGAAGGGGAAGGGAAGAGAGATGGAGAGATAATGCGAGAGAGCGGGGTATATATATAGAGAGAGGGAGAGAGAGAGAGAGAGAGAGAGAACGGCAGAAAGAGAGAGAGAGAGAGTAAGCAGGGCGGTAGACGGAGGGAGGTAGGGGAGTTTATTGTCAGGGAGGAACACACATACATGTGTTGTTTACACGTTTGTACAGGGAGGGAATTAGAGAGAGAGAGAGAGAGGAACACACATACATATATATAGAAAGAGAGAGAGGGAGAGAGAGTTGGGGAGAGAAAAGGGCGGGGGGAGAGAGAGAGAGAGAGAGAGAGAAACAAGAGAGAGAGAGAGAGTAAGAGAAAGAGAGAGAGAGAGATGGAGAAAGAGAGATAGAGAGAGAGAGAAACAAAGAAAGAACGAGCAGGAGGGATAGCGAGAAAGAGAGAGAGAGAGAGAAGGGGAGGGGGAGAGAGAGAGATAGAGACAACGATATACAGTAACACACATCTAGGAAGAGAGACGGATAAAGAGGGATCTATATATATATATAGGGAGAGAGAGAGAGCGAGAGAAACAAACAAACACAAGCAAACAATAAGAGACGGGGGGAACACCAACAACAATACTTAGGAGTGATGGGGGGGAGGAGCAAGGATGTGAGAGGGAAAAACGGGGACGGACAGGTGTAAGCAGGAGGGCGAGGAAGAGGAGGAGGAGGAGAAGGACGAGGAGGGAGGCCTGAGGGGGGGGGGGGGACGAAGATGGAGGGAGGAGAGGAAGGTGAAGGAATGGGCAGGAAGGAAAGCGCATTTGTAGGACTAGATGATGGGAGGGCAGGGCGGAGGGTTCGAAGGGGTCGGGTGGGAGTGAGAAGCCAGGAAGAGGAAGGAGGACGAGGAATGGTGATGGCACGCATCACGGCTGAAGCGATGAATGATAAACCCAATGTTGTCTTTCAGCCAGCGTTACTCACATCCCCGCCCATTTGAGGCCCTTGATGATTGTACGAGCGCGATGAGGTATGGTTACGCGACACAATCTATTAGGTCGTGTACAAGCAGCATTTTCGCATTTCAAACCCAGATACACCACCACCGGTTAGTTAAGAGCTACATGCGCTATCTCAGCGTGATCGGAGGTTGCCTGTTCTTCCTTCTCCTCCTGCTTGTCCTCTCCTTCATCCTCCTCATTTTATATCATCTAGATTCCTCCTCCTCGTCCTCCATATCCTCTTTTCCTTCCTCTTCCCCGCCCTCGCCCTCTTTCCCCTTCCCCTCTTCTACCATCCTCACATTATTATCCTTCTCTTCCCTTCGTCCTTCTTCTCCTCCTCCTCCTCCTCCTCCTCCTCCTTCTTCCCCCGTCCCCCGCTTTCCCATGCGCGCCCTCGCCGAGCAGATTGCGAGCGAGCGTGACAAGGGGTGGCCCACGTGGAAGCCAGGTGCCCACCAACTCCAAAAAGGCTGGCATGGACTCGGTGACGCCGTCGGTTGCGCGCCTAGCCTCCCCCCGCTCCTCCTCGGGTCGCCCCTCTTGCCCCCCCTCCTCTCATCCTGCTCATCCTCCTCCTCCTCGCCCTCTTCCTCGCCCTCATCGACCTCCCATTCACTCGCACGATACTTTTTTTGTTGCCCTGCCGAGCAGTGTTGATGTTTGCCCCTCTTTCCCGCTTCGGGACTGCGCTTCCACCCTGCCTTTTTTCCGCCGCCATGTAGGCTGGTCTGCGCATGCCCGTGTTATCTGTCTTTTACCGCTCGAATCATCACATCCGCGTGCTGAGCAACAATACCACGTGCCATCCTGATCATTTTAGATTTAGTTGGTAACTGGGTTCGGATATGTGATCCACTTCCGCCATGGCCTGCATTGCTTTCTTTCGCTGCGATGCCTCGATTGTGTCTGTTCTACATTTCCAACCCGACCGATTCAGCATGCTCATCATGTTCGCCGTGTTCGCTGCGTTCAACATTCCAGCCCGACATGAAGCTGGACCGTGTGCGTCGTGCTCGCGCTTTTCCACCCGTTCAACGCGGCAGGCGGCGGCTCTTTACGGACCGTCAGGGCGGACCCCGCCAAGCCGCCAGGAGCGTGTACAGGGGAAGGCACACATGCACATTTACGATTACCACCTCGATAAGAACATCAAAGACCGCGGCCCCACGCCGACCCTCTCGGCGCTGTATCCCAGGCCCGCCCAGATAAATCTGAACAGTTCGTGGACCGGAAGCCTTCGTGACATCCGCCTCGCGTTTGACGTCAGACCGCTGCTTGACACAACGTTCACGCATACGGTAGTGGCGAAGGGTCCCGGACTCATTGCGAATACGATGCAGGAGCCCTGGGAAAAAGAGGCAACGGACACGACGCCTTCCACTGCATCCGCCTAGGGGTGTCGCCAAGGGTGTCATACATATCCGACATTCACATATCTTGTGTCGGCGAAGCGCCCCGAGGTACTGGTGACTATGCTGCCACTGCCAGGCAGAGAAGAGTGATCAGATAATGGAGGGTCTGGCGACTATGCTGTCTGCATTCCGGGGGGGCGCAATACGAACCTGAGACATGACCTCTGGCATTGCCCGCGCCATTCCGGCCACCTGGCAAACCTGGATCCCGATGCGTACTCCTCTTGACTATCGTAACCAGTTGGCGGTGCCAAGTTCAGTGGCAACGCGACGCCCGACGGGCATTCCCATGAGTTTGTCGCAGGATGCCACATGCCGACCGCGCCCAAGACATACGACAAAAGAGCCTGCGGGTACCCAGGACAGATGCCCGCGCGGTGCGAAACAATCTGATTATTCGAGCATCGACGCCAGTGGGTTCCAGGACTCCAGCATCTGCTCGATATATGGAGGGGGCTCCGCTCCGGATGGAAGGCCATCGGGGTGGGCATGTTCGCTGCCGCCAGGGGCATCGCCAGCGTAGGCGCTGGCGGCGGCGGTGGCGGCGACGTGCGTCGCCTCCGCACCTGCTGGCCCGAGCGCACCTGTGGTCGCGGCAGCGCGCGACTGGCCACGCGCCGGTATCTTCGCAGCGCCCCTCCGCCCTCGGAGTGCCCGGGCTGCCAAGAGGAGGAGGGATGCGACCACCCTGCGCGCGCTCGCGAGTACAGCAAGCGCAGGCTCGCGGACCCTCGCCCGCGGCTGCGCCCGCCTGCCAGCCAGCGCCCTCGTGCGCCAGCGCGCTTTGGAGGGCCGCGCCGCTCCGGCGATCGGCAATCTCAATTACCCGGAGGAGCCCGCCTCGGAGCAGCAGGCGAAGCCGCGCCACCGCTGGCACCCGCGGACACACGTGGAGCCAGCTCATCATCATCCAGCGCTGGGGCTCAGGGTAGCGGCTCCAGCGACTGCGTCGCCGGGGCGCCGATTTCTGGCGCCGGCGATCGCGCTGCCAGACCAGGGCCGCGAGCCAGCCCGGTGACGGGGCCAGTGCCGCGACGAACGGCGCGACGAGCTTCCGACGCAGCGGTCGGACAAGCGCCCCCTTCACCGATTGAATTTCGCTTCGACGTCGCCGCGTCGCTGCGAGTGCTGCTCGGTGAGTCGCGCGAGACACGCATGCGAGAGCCACGCGAGCTACGCCACCAGTAGTGGCGCGCCGCTGCACAGGAGGAAATGGGGCGAGCTTTGCGATCGGCCAACATGCCGCATGCCGCGGGCAGTCCTCGCTGTCATCCCCGCAGTAGTCAACGATTGTAGGGATGTCGTACATGGCTACCGCCAGCGCATCAGACAATCCCTGCACTGCAGCGTTCGCAGCGAGTTTACCAGCGCGTCGAATTTGACATCCTGCACTGCGTGGATCGCATGGTCTTGCGCCGGATCTGCCGTGCCTCGCGGCGGCGCAGCGGCCAGGGAATCAAGGGCAAGCGCGGCTCGACTTTGCTGGCTGTCATCGACCCTTCGTGGATCCAACTGTTCGGTGCATTGGGGGCCTTCATCGTGGGCGGCGAAGGCGGCGCGGCCTAAGCGCGCTTCGTGGATGGGGCTATGGGCGGCGAGCGCGGCATGGCGTCGGCGCCCCGCGCCAGCGCGCGCGTTTTGCAGAGCGACGCGGCGCCGTCTGCGGCGCGCATTTCGCGCCGTAGAGGGGCAGCCAGCGCGCGAAGGTATTGCGGCCGATTTCGATTCTATGCTGGCCCACGCGACGCTCGCAGGCCGCGGCCTCGCCCGCGCGCGCGCGGCGCTGCACCTTGCTGCGCCGTCTTCGGAGGGCGGCGGCCGTCTATGCTGCCGCCGCTCGAACCGGGCGAATGGGGCCAGGTGCCTAGCCTCTACGGCGCTGGCGCCGCCCCTGCTTCTAGCGCATGAGAACGGCCCCGCCGGCTGTGGAGGCGCATCCGAGAGATCGCGCCGCGGCGCCTGATCGAGGCTCCTTCGATTTCCCGCGTCAGCCGCGCCCTCTGGACACGCGCCGCCGAATCCGGAGGGGGTTTACCACGGCGGTTGCGACCGGGAAGAGATTCGCCAGCCTCCGGGCACGAAAGACGCATCGGGCTGGGCAGGGCCCGATGCGATCACCTCTGCGGGCCCAGCTAGAGGCGAGGTCGCTGCCGAGTGCCGCCGAGCCGAGACGGTCTGCAGACTGCGGGGCGCGCGGGCTTCCATTGGCGCCGTCTTCGACGACGCGGGGCTGCCGTGGCGCGAGCAGGCCTGGCCCGGGGTCGCGCGGGGGATTTCCCGGAGCGCGTCGCGGCGGGCTCCGGGGCCGAGGCCTTCGGCCATTGGGGGGGCGCGAAGGCGCGCAGCTGACCGAGCGGGCTCGGCGACGCCCCGGCGCCCTCGATGCCTCGCACCACTTGTTCCGCAGATGCTCTCAGCTGCCGGACGTCGCGCAGCGCGCCTTGCATGCGGCCGGAAGTCTGTGGGCATCTGGCCGGGCTGCGCCCGCAGCTAGGTCATCTGGCGGTACCTTCGGGGCCCGAGCGACATCCGACGGCGGCGCTTGTGCGGCGTCGAGTTTGATGCTCGCCGACTCATCGGCGAGCGGTGGAAGGAGGTGCGCACCGTTCAACTTTTCTTGGGCGACGAACAGCTGCTTGCAGCAGGCGCCGGCCAGGGCCGAGACGGGGCGCTCGATGATGCTGGCGTCGCCGAGGGTGATTCGCCATCGGCCTTGTCTTTCGCGCCCGAAGTGGCCGACGGCGACTTCTCTGGCCACGTCCAGCGAGCGATGGCGTCGGCAGCTTGGCGCGAAGTCGAGGGGGCAGGGGCTCTGGCCCAGGTGCTGCGGGAGCTGGAGAGCGCCGACGGTCAGCAGCAGATCTCCGATGCCATCGAGCACGCCGCGGCTGGCCTTTGCCGCGCGCCGCGCGAGTGGCCCTGGCGCCTGGAGACGCGGCGCCCGCGTGAGCGCACGCGCGCGCAGTGCTGCAACTACCTGCGCGGCGCCTCTGCGGGCCCTTTCGCCGAGATATAGAAGGAGGATACAGAGGGGGAACATGTGGAGTTGCGACTGAGCCCAGGGGTGCGCGATGCATTCCTGGGCCGTGATGAGGGGCCGCCCGGCGACCGCGTCGCTGGCGCCCCCGCGACAGCCGCGCTTGAGGCCCATGCCGCAGTCGAGGCCGCGGTCGCCATGCGCGACGCCGTTCTCCTGGCCGAAGAGGAAGCGTCGAGGCTGTTTCAGAGTGTCGCCGCAGCCATCCTCGAGGAGCTCGCCATCTGGGTCAAGTGCAAAAAGTTTAGAGAGGCGGCCGCTCAAGGGCGCCCGAAACGCCGTGGACTCCAGGCATGTCTTCAAATTGAAGCACCGGGGGGGGTCGGGCGGCAAGACCGCCGGCCGGGGTCACCCGGCGCTGCGCGGCGCAGAGGGAATCTGCGACGCGGGCGCCGGGGCCCTCGAGATGTTCGCCGGAGCGGCGAAGCGGGCGTCGCGGCGCGCGCTGTTCCCGGGGGCGGCGCGTCGCCCAGATCGGGCGCGCGTCGCCGCGGGCGTCGGGAAAACTCTCCTGCGGGGCGCGACCTGCGCCGAGATGCAGGAGCAGGGCGAGGCGCCCCGCGGGGTGAAGATCGCCCTGCCGCCCGTCTTTTCAGCCGTCCTCAGCCAGGTGCCGGGCTGCGAGTTCTTCGACGAACTCGCCGAATGCCTGCGCTGCGTCGAGCCGGGCGCGGGCTGCAAGGGTGCGCCCGCGGCCTTGTCCGCGAAGCTTGCCTGGGCCGCGCGCTCGCCCGCGCGCGGCGCCGGGCCAGCGAGGTTGGGCCCGGGGCTCGTCGAGCGCGAGACGTCAATTGGCGCCGGCGGCTCGGAGCCAGAGCTCGCGCTGTCCGATCGCTCGCTGGCGATCTGAGGATCCGCCGCGGAGCCCCAGGGACGCGTTGACCAGCCGATCGGCAATGTCGAGAGCGCCTTCGGCAAAATGGTGCGCGACCACGACGACGACTCCGCCAACTGCGGAGCATGCCGGCGCAGCAGTGCCGATGGAACAGCGGCGCTCGACCAGGGCGAGTGCGTCGACGCCCTGATGCCGATGAGGCACGTCAATCTGGTCAAAGTGAAGGCCGACGAGCCGGCGGGGGGTCAACTTCCAGACCTGTTTGTTTCCCTACTCGGAACAGCAGTGAGTTCTGCTCTCGCAGCGCCACGTTGCCGCGCGCGTCGTCGCTCTGCAGGGGGCCCGGGTCCAAGTTGGTCATTCGTCACGTGATGCAGCTCAACTCTTTGGCCCTGGCTACACAGGAGGCCCAGGCGCGCGTCGCCTTCCCGGCCGCGGGACACGCCGGGCGACTATGCGCGCGCGCCGACGGGTCGTTGGAGAGGGAGGAGGAGATCCGCCACAGTATGAGAGGTGCCGTATACACGGATTTGGGTTAGTGCTGCAAAATTGGTAAACGGGTATGGCACTTGCTCGTCGCTGTGAGCCGACCGCGCAAATTGGCGCGCCGATCGCGATTTGGATCAGAGCTGCTCGCAGCCTGATGCGCGGCGGACGGCAGGCCCCTGACGCTCCGCGAGACGGTGCGCGGAGTTGCTTCAGCGGAGGAGATCATGAGGCTGAGGAGCGGGGGGGAGGCTACGCAGTGCCGGCCGAGCAGGTCGTCGACGGCGCGTCCGTTTTTTCGGCGCTGGGCATGGACCCTGTGCGGCCGCCATCGGAGAACAGCATGGCCAGTCATCTCTGGTGGCTGTCAGACCAACTCCGCACCAAGCATATAGACGACAACCACATACATGATAACCGACCCCGTGACGAAGGGGAGTATCGGCCGAGATCTCATCCTGAGCATCATGCGCAGCAGACGCATCTACGACAGAGCGCGATGAAGCTGAGCGAAGAGAAACACAACAATACCGTACCAAGTTCACAATGTAGTGATCTCACCATCAGGGCACGGGCGGCCAGAATGACGAACTCACCGGTTCGCCCAACACTTCGGGCAACGACGACCTGGGCCCGTACTGACTATGTCAGCGCAGCTCATAATGATTGACCCAATCATGCCGAAGTGCGAAGCAGGCTCTCGCATTTCGCGAACTATGTTCGCGAGGGCGACGTAGTGAAGCATGCCTGTGAGGGGGCTCCTTGCTTCCATGAACGATGTTCGGGGAACAGCAGGCGGATAAAATCAGAGCGTGCAAGTGAATGAGGCCGTTCTCCATTGATTGCCTGCAGCTGGCAATTTCTTATGAGGGACGTGGTCAGCAGAACGTCCTCTGTTCATCGTTTGCTTCTGCTTCGTCAGTTCGTGCGCGGTTTGCGTGCGCGGGCCGACGAAGCACGTTTGAACGCCAGATGCAAGCAGTACTTTTTCCCCAAACAGCTTGCTGAACGGGGTGCTGTTGTGATAGAAGCTAACTCCGGCCGAGGGAAGCCGGAGCAGAGACATCCTCACAAAAATTTGATGATCCGGGCCGTTTCGCTTGAGACATCCTCACAACTCTCGTTTCTGAGTTGGCCGGGATTGGCCGTTTCGCTTGAGACATCCTCGACAAGTTGCGCTCCAGGACGCCGCGCGAGAGGTGGTCCGGGCCGTTTCGCTTGAGATATCCTCAAAATTCTGAGCCCCGAGGTGCCGTGCGAGAGGTGATCCGGGCCGTTTCGCCTGAGACATCCTCGAAACTCTGAGCTCTGAGATGCCTTGCGCGAGGTGGTCCGGCCCGTTTCGCTTGAGACATCCTCGAAACTCTGACCTTGGAGATGCCGCGCGAGAGGTGGTCCGGCCCGTTTCGCCTGAGACATCCTAGTCCGGCCTGTCTCGCCTGAGACATCCTCGCAACTCTGAGCTCTGAGATGCCCCCCCCCCCCCTCGCCAGAGCGAAGCTTGAGCGAGCTCAAGCCCACGCTCTCAGGAACTGACGCGCCGGATCGGCGGATTTCTTTGCCTCCTCCCGCACCTCTTCCCGCGCGGCATCCGCGTGGGAGGAGTAGGGACCAGAGAAACTATAAAGGGGGGGTGGTAAGGCGGAGGCGGAGGGAAAAACGTGTCCCCTGCTCCTGCTGCTGCTGCTGCTGCGGCTCCTCCTCTTCGCCCTCTTCGATGTTACCTTGCGTTGTTTCTCTGCCTCCTCCTACACCCCACCCCGCGCAGCGGAAAGGTGAGAGGAGTTGGGGGCAGGAGGAAGAAGAAACAGGAGGAGGAGGAGGAGGAGGAGGAGGAGGAAGAGGAGGAGGAGGAGGAACATGAGGAGGAGGAGGAGGAGGAGGAGGAGGAGGAGGAGGAGGAGGAGGAGGAGGAGGAGGAGGAGGAGGAGGAGGAGGAGGGAGGAGGAGGGAGGAGGGGGGCGAAGGAGGATGATTGGATTTGGGAGGGGTGGGGCGAGTGTCCCTCTCCTCTTCCTGTCCCTCCTCCCTCCTCCTCCACCACCTCCTCCTCCTCCTCCTCCTCCTCCTCCCCCTCCTCCTCCTCAGGCTGCCGTTTGAGGGAATCGAATCCTGCCCAGCAGAACGGATTGCAGAATCGTACCCGAGGTGGCATTGCGCCCCGTACCCGCAGGATCGGGGGGCAGGGGACTGGGGGACCCGCCACTAGCGAAGCACGGGCAGGGAAGCAGCGGGGCCACACATCCGATGCTGTAACGTGCATCGTCTCTTCGTCTTCTGATGGATTTGTTGTGTGCCGCATTTGATCCCGAGGTCTCGGGATCTGCAAGTGTGACCTCCAACCAAAGAATACGACAACGTATTCGACGCATCCGCGCAAAAAAAAACTGCCAGGTTGCCAGGATGGACATTTTGAGAGGTTTATCATTATCACCCCCGCCAGGACTCGGGCAGAGACCAAAAGAACAGCGCACAGAGTTTGAGAAACGGTTATTGGAGCACTTTGAAAAACAACTGACGGACCGCGCGTTGGAGAGCCAGCGCGCAAGTTCCCGCAACGAGGACGACGCAACCCAAGACGAGAAGGCAGCACAGGTTGCATTAACAACGGAGGGAGACGGGAGTCAAGAAGTCAATACTTGGCGGGCCTGATGCGGTCCTGGAGAGAGCACCCCGCCAGCGACTGAGACGGAGGCCAACGGGCCGAATTTCATCATCGTGGACGCAACGCCGTTGAATACAGAGAAACTGAATGGGGTCGCTCGGAAGACATCTATTCTGGAGAGCTGATTGGCGCGATTCGAAATTCAGACAGCGTGGATCAGTTTCAATCGATTTTAGATGAGTTCCCATACGGACTGGAAACTTATGCATATTGTTGTACACGCATCGGGCGGGATACTTTGGATGCGGGCGGTCTCTCAGCAAACGAGGAAAAAGGGCACCACAGCCGCGTTTACTAAGTTGTTGGACCACGTGTACGGAATATTCATAGACACTGGAGAACTGCATTATTCTGACATCATACGGCGTGAACACGAATATCCAAGGCACGAGGTGCACGCAGCAATCGAAACATGGGTGCAGGGCGGAGCCGTTGTTTGCAATGGTCGCACATATAGAACAGTTTGTTGAATAACCATGTTCGCCACGTTCGTGCTTGCCGAAAACAGAACAACAGTTCGTTTGCTAGGCTTTGCCTTCCGGCGCTGCCCCTTCTCCTCTCGTCCCCACCCTGGTCGGGAGCCTCGGCTGCTGGCCTGTCCCTCGTCTTTCCTCGGCTGTCCTCCTCTCCTGTTCCCGTCCTGGCTCCTCGGGGCAATGGGCTCTGCGGAGAGATGAGAGACGGTGCGTCGTGCAGCGGTCCGTGGGGGGGGAGGGGGGGAGGGAGGAGGAGCCCGCGCCCGATGCACACTTCCCCAGAATTTCGTTGGTCCCCAGGGGGGGGGGGGACGCCGCCCTACTGAAGGCGGCAGCCGCCCGCCTCGTGCCATCCCTTTATCCCGCCTCTCCGGGGCAGGGTCCCCCGCGAGCGGGGTACGCGTGCCACTCCCCTGCTAAGGAAGGGATGCTGCGTCCCAGGCAGCCCGCCGACCTGACCAGGTAACGGGCTTGCATCCACGTTTTCACCCAGGGGTCCAGCTCGCATTTAAGCACGCCAGGGACAGAGGCCCCCAAGGGCCTTATCTTTATCCTCCTCCTCCTCCTCCTCCTCCTCTTCCTCCTCCCCCTCTTCCTCCTCCTGTTTCTGCGTCTGATCCTCCTCATGATCCTTTTCCTGGTCCTCCTCTTCCTCCTCATCTTTCTTTTCCTCCTCTTCCTCCTCTTCCTCCTCCTCTTCCTCCTCGTCTCATAGGGTCGTCGTTGTCGTCGTCGTCGTCGTCTTCGCCGTCGTCGTCGTCGTCGTGGTCGTCGTCGTCGTCGTCGTCGCGGTCGTCGTTTTAATGGTTGTTGTGGTGGTGGTGGTCGTCTTCGTCGTGGTCTTCGCCGTCGTCGTCCTCGTCGTCCTCGTCGTCCTCGTCGTTGTCGTCGTTGCGTCGCCGACGTCGTCGTCCTTGTCGTCGTCGGGCGGCGCGCGGCGCCTCCGAGGCCAGGTGCATGTCATTATGCAAGGAGGGCCGCGCCTCGCGCGCGCGGCTTCCTCTGTGGGGCGCGGGGCGTGGGGAGGAGGCGGGCGGGGGAGATGGGCCGACGAGCCGGGAAAAAGAGGGGGGGAGGCGGGAAACGAGGAGTACCGTTGTTGAGCAGATATTGGTGGGGACACAGAGATGACGGAAAGGGGGGGCTCCCTCCTCCCCTTGCTCCTTCTATTATTCTTCCTCTTCGTATCTTATGCGGCGTTGGAATATTTTTCTCGCCGCCACGGCTGGGGTGGATTCGGACAATACGTCAGGATTGCGCTCAGGAGGTCCCTCCTCCTCTTGCTCTGGGGCTTCGGGGCCCCCCGTGTCGCCACGGCCAGACGCGACTCGTGAATCAGGTTTGGATGGTGCTCATGATGGGTTCGGAGGACTGGTTTGTGGAGGTTCCTGGAATGGGGGGTACGTGGGATGTGGGATGGGGACGGGGCACGATCTGCTCAGCCTTAGGGTAAGGATTGGGCCAGGCTTGTGTTGCCAACCCAGTCTTTGTCCAGTCACATCTGTCCCCTGGTTTTGCTCACGACGGCAACCGTTGATGCCGTGAACGAAATCCGGACATACGTTTTGATTATGTTTCGGGCCCCAGGATTTTCTCGGATCGATCCATTTAGAAAGACAACGCATGAAGATAATGTCGGGACTCGCGGTTGCGTTTGTTTCACGATTTTGTATTTTTCTGGCGTCTTATTTGGGGGGCATGAGGTCCCCAAGACAAATGTGTCCGTTGACTCCCTTATCGCCCTTGGGGCACCGACATGTGTACTGTGCTGTGCAAATCTTTCACCTACAACACGAAGCTTGCGATCATGGCGTGTTGTTTAAAGCTGGATTACACGTCACCGAACACGCAGCTCTCTCAGGTACACTCGATACCCGTCCCTGGGAGGTCGTCTTCGCTGTGTATATATATATATATATATTTCGACTAGCGGGGAGAGTGAAGCAGCAGGGGGAAGGGATGGAGAATGAGGAGGGAGTGCAGGACGGGTGGGGCGGAGGAGAGGCGGAGGAGGAGGAGGAGGAGGAGGAGGAGGAGGAGGAGGAGGAGGTGGAGGAGGAGGAGGAGGAGGAGGAGGGGGGGGGAGGAGGGGGGGGAGGGGAGGGGAGGGGAGGGGAGGGAAGGCAGCAGAAGGGAAGGAGGAGTGGATGCAGAGCGTAGGGGGGGATAAGTTAGCCTGGGTAGAGAGGGGATACGGTCAGGGAGGAAGAGACGAGAGGGGAGGCAAAGGAAAGAGGAGCGGAGAAGGGACCGGAGGATAAGAAGGGGCGGAGGACGTCCCCGTGCAAACATTCGTCCGACGCCATGTCGTTTATCCTTGGACCTCTGAGCGGCGGTAGTAGAGAAGCTCAGCGGCCGTGCCGCGGGAATTGTGGACCCCTTTCATGGTACGCAACAAGAGGCGGAGGAGGAGGAGGAGGCCGAGGAGGAGGACGAGGAGCAATAGGTGGCTGAGGTGGCTGAAATACACTGCTCTTCTTAGCCGGCGCACCCCAACAAGTTGCTCATGTGCACCACCTTGCAGCACGGTGCCGTCCTATAGCGACACCGTTAGCGCTGGCCAGCGAGGCTGCGCTTGCAAGTGAGTTTGTCCGACGCCGGCCTAACCACGGCCGCGTCAGGCAGAGGCAGCATCCCGCTTCAAAATTTACAGCGCTAGGCCTAACGACGGCCTTTGCCTAAAGAGAGCGCGCTGTTATCATCCGTGCTTCACTCCCGACTGGTGCTAATGTGGTCTCCGATGCATTCGACCTCGTGTAATCCCAAGGCCGTGGCACGGCGTTGTATGTGCCATGCGGCCGTCTAACAGCAGCTCGTACGACACCAAGTCTCCTCAAGCCAGTCAATCTATCGAGCTCATCGCTTTTCGCTCGTTGCGCGAGTACGCCAGACCCTCCACCCAAGGGCTGAATGACGACACATATCGATGCTGTACTCGTCCCCGCTGGCGATGTCGATGTGGTGCCTTTCAACCAGCTCGGTATGGACGACTTCTCCATCCAGTTCGTCGTCCTCGTAGCTTGCAGGTGCAGGCGTGGGGATGCACCGTGTTTCGTCCACGTTGCTGACACCATCACAGTTGCCCAGTGCCCCGCACAGTTGTATCTTGGGTCAGGCGCAACCCAGCTAAAAGTGGCGTTACCTTGGTGCAGGGGGCCACAGGATGGACACCAAATCGTCGCTGTATGGAAGGCCGCGGTGACATCGCCAGGCTGGCGCGAGGAGGCCCGGTTCCAAGTCGTGTTTGATCAAAAGAAAAGACGGGAGGATTGGGATGAAGGAGGAGCAGTTGGAGGGAGGAGTCAGAAGAGGGTTGGAAGAGGAAACTCTCTAGACCACCTACGCCCAGAGTGCTGGTGGGATTCGAAGGGGGGGGGGGGGGGGCAAGGCCACGGATTGAGACCAATGGTCGTGCGATCTCGGGTTCGGGCATTTTCCTACATTATAAACGCGATGCCAGGCTCAGGGCTGCATGTTGTTGCCTGTCCCATTGAGCGCGAATTGCCGTCATACTCGTTCCTCCTTTCCCACCCTTGTGTCCTCTCTCATCCCCCCTGCTTCTGAATGTTCTTTTTCTCCTTCTTCCATCATCTTATTCCGTTTTGCAATCCATGGTGATGTTCAGCGGATTGGGCCCTCATGCGGGCGGCCCGGCATTTGCAGACAAATAGAAGCCCCTTGGCAAGGACAAATGAACAAAGCACTGCGGCTGGATAACCTCATATTTGATGCAATCCCGTCCGTTTGTTTACATGCTTAAGGCGATCCACGATCAGAGTGGTAAGTGTCATTTCACACAATCTACCCGTGCACGCCCCATCTGTTCCCGTCATCATGGCCTGCGCTTTGGTATTGGAATATAATGACCAATGCGCGCCTGGCAACTTTCGTTTGGTGACCGTCCGGATCTTGCCAGGCATGCGGTGTCACCGCGCTACCCCCAAGGTATAGCTGGTCAGCGCCCGACCCAAGTTGTATCCGCGTCGGCGGCGAGCGAGGCTTGAAGACCTGCGGATCCGTCTGCCCCTGACGTATGGTTTGGTTTTTCTCCAGCTTCAGGTCTTTCGCAGCCATCCGTGTCTGTAGTGCAGGACTTCCTTCTTGATCATGCTCGTCACCACCTCCTTTTGGCGACGCTGTATCAGCGTACCGCGCAATCCCCATCTCCTCGCCAGCGTTGTTTTCATGGGCGATGCCAGTGCGGACGCGCTGTGCCTGATACCTGGGCGCGAACTCCTGGATCCTCGCCTCCCCCCCGCGAGGCGAACAAGAGAGACCGTCCGAGATGGTAGAAGTGACCTCCATCACATCCACATTCTGGCCATTGCGACCCCTGCGGACTGCGATCATCCCAAGTGCGCCCGCGGAGGGCCCTCGGGCCAAGAGGCCAAGCGTGGCAAGAGGAAGTGCGAGGGAGTGACTCCTATGACGGCGCCCGACCAACACCGATCGGGGAGGCGCCAGCCTCGTCCTGCGCGATCAGCATCACGAAGTACGCGACCACATCCCTTGAGCGCCTGCGTTCGCAGTCATCATCAACAGCCATCAGGGATGAGGAGTTGGAGGTGGGTATTCAAGGATGGGGATGCTCAGGAGTATGAGGAGGATGAGGAGCAGGATTAGGGAACCTTAGCGGCCGTTCAGCGAATAACGGGAGGCTCGCTCCTGCTGTTCCTCCCGTCCCTCGGGCTCGGCCCCAGCCCCCCGTATCCCAACGGGCGCAAGGGGGGGGAGGGAAGGGATGTAAGGAGTGTAGAGGGGTGTGGTCAGGGCGGGATGGGGGGAGGCAGGCAGGGGGGCGGGGGGGCAAGTGGTCACCTACCCTTCGCGCCCCGCCGCCAATTCCTCGGGTTTGACCTCCACCTCGTCCGTCCCGTTTCCTCCACAGCCCTGTCGTCGGCCTCTTCCTGCCGCCTTCTCGGTGCTCCCCCTCCTCTTTGCATTCGTGCCACCCATCGTTTTCTTGTTCTTCTTCTTCTTTTCAATATTCCCACTCCTCCTCCTCCACCCCATCCTCGTGTGCCGTCTCATCCTTCCTTCCCGGTACGCATCCCGAGTGGGGCCATGTTCAGGAGATGTCGGAGTGCAGCTCCGCCTCCAAGGGCGGGCACATGTGCGGAGATCTTGGCTGGGTGATTCAGGAGGCAGGATGAGGGAGGAGGAGGAGGAGGAGGATACGCAGGAGGATGAGGAGGAGTGAGAAGGAGACGGAGGTGGAGGACTCGGAGGAGAGGGATGACCAAAAGACGACGATGATGATCATGTTGGTGGTGATGGTGTTATTCACGACGATGCTGATGATGATGATGCTGATGATGATGATGATGATGATGATGATGCTGATGCTGATGCTGTTGCTGACTATGACGGTGATGCTGATGAGGACGATGCTGTTGTTGCCGCTCATGATGATGATACTGAGGATTCTGATGCTGCAGGCAGTGAGGATATTATGATGACAATGGTGATGATGCTGATGCTGATGATGCTGATGCTGTTGTTGATGTTGATGCCAATGCTGCTGACGATGCTGATTCGGATGCTGATGCTGCTGACACTGTTGATGCTGCTGGTGTTGGTGCTGGTGATGCTGATGCTGCTGAGGCGGATGACGATGATGCTGATAATGGTGGTGGTGGTCTTGATGGTGGTGGTGTTCATGCTGATGATGGTGATGCTGCTGACGCTGGTGCTGATGATGCTGATGACAATGATGACAATGATGAGGATGATGATGACGATGCTGATGATGATGATGACGATGATGGTCATGCTGTGGATGATGATGGTGTTGAGGATGGTTATGGTGATGCTGCTGATGATGATGATGCTGATAGTGATGATCATGAGGATGATGCTACGGCTGATTGTGGCCATGATGATATTGATGAGGGCGAGGATGGTAATTACGATGATGCTGTCGATGATGCTGATGATGGTGGTGGTGATGCTGATGGTGATGGTTGTGTTGCTGGTGATGATGCTGGTGATAACGATGGTGGTGGTGGTGATGATGACGACGACGATGATGATGAGGAGGAGGAGAAGCAGCGGCAGGAGGAGGATGAAGAGGAGGCAAGGAGAAAGGTGATGAAGATGAGAAAGAGAAGGAGGAGGAGCATAATGATGATATGGAACGAATGGAAGGGATGGGGAACGGATGGAGGTGGAGGAACAGGATAATGACGAGGTGACGCGGACTGTGGTGATGATGGCTCTACTGGTGATAGTGGTGATGAGAAGGGAAGCAGTCGGAGGTGAGGGGAGAGGAGGGAGGGTACAGGAGACAGGGATAAGATGATTGCGTCTTGCTTCCACAAGTGGCTTAGTGCAGTGACTGAAGGGTCGGTTCTCCACGAATGCTTCTTGCGCCAGCTCGAGATCCGATTACTCCACGTCATCTTTTGGTCTGTCCACGGCTGATGCACCTTTCTTTGGTCCGTCTTCATGCGCTGCATCACCCGAGGCTTTGTCGCCGTCATCATCTCTTTCGGTGTCTTCGTCTTCCTCGATGGTCACCAGTCCGAAGCGCTCGCCCGTCTCCTGCAAGTCGCCCGCATGACGAGGTCAATCGAGTTGATTTAGACAGTACTTCGCGGCAGCTGAGCATTGAAATTTTTGTTTGACCCAAGCAACAGCTTTGACGCGTGTCGGTGCCGGCTGCTCATCATGCTTTCGTGTTCGGCTTCAATTTCCGACTTCGTATTTTTGACCTAGGTGCCATTGGTGCGTTGGTGCCGCGTTTACACGGGTGTGCCTAGGATCTGCTACATGTGCGTGAGGCTATCTTCTTTTTGAGTGTCAGATCTCCGGTGCCTCAATCGCTGTTTAGTTTTCCCTTGGACGGACGATCGGTGCCAGCTCGGATGGAGCTTGTGCAGTCAGCGCGTCGATTTGCCCTCTTCTTTCCCGCGCGAAGTACACGCGTCGTCCCTAACCGGCGGCCCGCGAGCTTCTTCAGCTTCACGATGCTCAGCGTCTCACCGTGGTGAGTAGTCACTGCCTAGCCCACCTCCTGCAAGACTTCGTCGCACGGAGCGCATTGCCACTCTCCATCATTGAGCCCTCCTGTGGTCCCGCCGCATTCTCGGAGCGACCAGACGCGTTGTGGCGCTCCTGCTTCCAGGCGCAGCCAGCTGCCCAGCGGCGCCAACCGTGGCCACGGGCTGTTCGGAGATTGCTGCTACGGATCCCTTAGTTTTGACCATCGCGACTACCGGCATTGCCGACGACGTGATGCTGTCGGCGCTGGGGAGATAGAAGAACAAAGTTGCCGCAGACAGTAACCAACATGATGAACAGTGGTAAAGAGCACGTGGTTTTCCCCATGTTGCACTGCCATGCCATGCCATGCCTAAACGATGTCATGCCATGCTATGCCGTGCAACGAACTGCACTGTAAGATTGCGCAGTGCTAACTAATGACGTGGCAGGCAAAGCCATGCTCTGCATTTGCCTTGCTCCACAACGCTTTCAATAGTACGCAGCACTCTGGCAGATCACGATATGCTGTGCAACACTGTGTAATGGCATATAATGTTATGTTGGTTTGCAGCGATCAACTCTGTGCTTGGTTGCTACGCACGTGGTGCAATACAAAGCTATGGCATGCTTACCTGTGGCATGCAGTGCTATGCTGTGTAGTGTAATGATGTGCAATACAATGGTAGACCAGGCGCTCGACACACAACCCCATGGTATGCTGTGCGGTGCTACACATTCGAGTTTTCGGATCTCTGGCGACGCGTTTTGGAACACGATTATGCTTACTGTGTTCGTGGTTATTGCGATGCAAGGGTTTTCTCCCTCCTGCCTCCTGTCCTCTTCAGGTCCCTGCCTCGCAGGATCCGACAAGAGCGCAGCAGCGCAGCAACACGCAGCGTACGTACTTCCGAGTAATCTACCCAAGGGGGGCTAGCATCTCCTGGAGTCGCTTGGATGGACTTGCTTGCTTGTTTGCCATGGCATGCAGTGCCATGTTATGTCGCTATGTCCGTTGTGCCATGCAATGCTGTCCGAAGTCGCTATGCAATGTGGTGTTGTGCTGCTCTAGGCAATGTTGCAAGGGCATCACATGCTAGGCGGTGCTATAACATGCTTTGCGCTCGCGAGCTGTGTACTGCACTGCGCTGCATTGAATCTTACTGCGTGTGGATGCCTTCGGCAAGTCTGACCCCCATCTGGGATCGTGATGTTTTTTTTTCGTGCAAAAGATGCGGCACGACGAGGACAGAGGAGGCGTGGAAGCTCCCCCGCGGAGAACGCAGGTGAACGAGGAGGAGCTGAAGGGGTTCGGCCCCTCCTTCGCGGAGGTCCCTCCCACGCGCGCGCGTGGGTCTTAAAACAGGGGGCACAGTGGGGGTGTCTCCACGGGACGGGTATGCTCTGACCATGCGTAGCCAACATGTGGACGTGCTGGCGAAGGGAGGGGAACTCGCGGACTGAGTGCCAACCCCTTGGGATCCCCTTTTGAACGACACCAGGGCTTCGACGGAAGCGCGGATGGTTGTGGGCGCTGGAGAAAGCCTCGATCGAGCTCCGCCATCTTCGGGGTGCTGAAGTTGGCGTCCAGGGGGGAAGAGCGTGCCGGATTCAGCCAAATTTTGGAGTGCCAGTGGGGCCAGAACCCTCCGTTTCCTCCCGCTCGCCCCTCCTCACGCCGCCGACGTCGCCAATACTTCGGAACATGGACCACCGCCACCGAGACCCCATCGGAGGGAGAGGTCCCCTACCGATGGGTTCTCGGTGGCGGTGGTGATTCATGTTTATTGTTTGAGTTTTCCCGCGTTCGCCCTTTCGAACGTCGCGGGCGTCAAAACTTGATCCCCGCGCGCACGCGCCTGCGGAGCAGGCGCCACACCAGAGGAACGCACAGTGCAGTCAGGCTGCCCAGACCACTCGCACGTATAGGTATCTGGCTTCTCTTCCAGGTGATTGGATGCGTAGGCCAGGGTTCGCCTGGTGCCTGGTTGGTGGCCGCCCGCGGGCGCCTCGTGAGCGCCCCCTGCGCTGGGTCGGTAGGGCGAGATTTCGCCTGGTGCCCTCTAGGTGGCCGCCTGTTGGCAGCCCGGTGAGCGCCTCGTGGGTACCCCGTGCCAGCGGTGGGTGTGTCGGGGCTCCGCCTGGCTCCCGCCCGTGGCCGCCCGTGCATCACACAGATCGCACGCCATGGCTTGTACCAAATAGGCTGCATCACAGAGCTTTCAGCACATAGAGTTTGCACCACGTAGCCTGCGCACAACGAATAGCTTGCACCACGTACACTGCACCATGCACATAATACACCTGTGTGTTGTTGCAAACAATGAAGTTTTCGGGCCGTGGTCCTCTCTCCTCCTCCCCCTCCCCCGTCTTCTAAGTGGTCGGCGGGCGGGGAGGGCGGGGGCGGCGCAAAGTCAGGTGGCGCCGTTCTGACATAACACATTATGTTTGTGTTCTCCGCTCAAGTTCTTTGGCTCGAGCATGCCCGCGGGAGTTCCCGCGGCCTCGCCCGAGTTCTTTCTCATTTGCTCCCCGCGCGGCAGCAGCGCGGGCAATTCCGACAGCTCGGGCGGCTCTTCGTGGGAGCTGGTCGGTCTGGAGTCTTCCGACGATTGGCAGGTGCTGGACCTGCCGCGGAGCGCGCTGGAGGGCGCTGACGAGACGGCTCGCTTCGGGTGCTGGCCTTTCGGGATCCTGGTGTGGTTGCTCTTCTCTCTGGTGAGTGATCCGATCGTGGAGCAGGATTCGGTTGACGAGTCCGAGAGTTTCGAGATCCAGGTGCCAGTTGAGCCATGGTTTCGCCGCTTCTACCGCGTGAGCGCGACCGACGGTGTGGAGGTGCAGCTGGTGCGTCGCAAGAGCGGCAATGTGTGGGCTGTCATCGGCCCGGACCTGACCCTCGGCCTGATCTGCATCACGGCGAAGACGTCTATCTTCACGGACCCCGTGGCGGGGATACGCTGGCGGCCGATGCCCCCTCTTTCATCAGCTCAGAGGGGCGCCTACTTCAGCCAGGCGACGGAGGGTTTGAGGGCGTCGACGGTGCCGATGTTGCCATTGTGCCGCCCCGGCAGAGGTGGTCAGCAGGCGATGGCGGTGAACGTCCTGTATGCCGTTTTCAACTCGGGCGCTTCATCGCTCAAGACGCTGAGGTGGTCTTTGAGGAGTCCCAAGCGTTTCCTGGGTGTGCTGGCCGCGTTGTTCGTATTGTACGAACTGCTGGTGCTGTTGGGCGTGATCGAGTATATGAAGGAGGTCTGGGTGTACACGATCAGCTACATGGTCACGGCCAAGGACGCGTTCGTGGAAAGCTCGGCGGTCGTCCAGGAGTGGGCCACCTACCTGTGGGAGTGGAAGGAGTGGGCTCAGAAGCTCATGCCTCTTCAGCGGTGGTTTGCAATGTTCCTGGCTCTGATATTTCTGACCATCTGGGCGGCCCACGAGTGTTCGGACAGTGGAGAGCACGGAGAGTCCTCGATTGGGTCCTCAAGCGCTTCGAGTGTGGACGTGCCCGTCGGTTCGACTGCTTCGGTGCCTCCGCCTTTGCCGCCGCCTGGCTATCTTCCAGGCGGGGAGAGTGCTGCGTTGGCGAGCCAGCTGAACGATCTCGTGGAGTCCCAGAAGGCCACGATGGATGATATCAGCGAGATCAGGACCGCCGAGAGGTCGAGAGAGCTGCGTCGAGACGTACTCGAAGCTTCCCTGGATTCTCGCGGTCGCGCGGACGCCGAGGCCAACAAGCAAGTGATCTAAGGTGTGATTGCTCGCCTGGACCGGTTCGAGGCTCGTCTGAAGGGGGGGGCTCCTGTGGAGGCAGGAGCTGGCGAGCATGGGGCCGCGATCGAGGGGGCGGGCTTTTCGGCTTCTGCAGTCGCCGTGCTCGGGTCGCCCGTGAAGAGTACCCCCGCAGCGTTGATGGAGACGCCCGAGAAGCGGGCTGCTACGTCTCAGCCGGAGGCCGTCGAGTCGGCCATCAAGCGGATGCGCTTCAAGGCTCAGTTGCCGCAGCAGGTGTTCATGGAGCAGCTGGACGAGTACAAGGAGATCGAGCCCGAGGAGTGGAACAGCCAGATGCCCGAGGGTTACCGCCAGCGGATTTCGGCCGAGGTGCTGTCGGAGATCCACTCGTCAGGGAAGACGGCCGAGGCTTGGGCGCGCGACTTCATCAGGGACCGCGGCCTGAGCGACTGCAACACGGCGCGGGAGATGATCGCGGCCTACGCCGCGGTGGACACGATGCTGATGACCGATCGTCAGAGGGGGCTCCTCAACCTGGTGAGCTTCGAGCGGCTGGTGCGAAAGGGCTACGCCATCGTGAGGGCCTACCGCAACGTCAACAGCCGCGACGACTGGAGCCGCCCCAAGGATGCCAAGAACTGGAAGTCGAAGGTGGACTGGGAGGCGGCGCGTCGCTTGGACCCTCAGCTCGCCGACGAGGGCACTATCCGGGTGATGAGCGCCGAGGAAGAGATGAAGAAGGCCATGGGTCGCGACGCGCAGCTGATGAAGGCGCGCTCCGACCTGGACTGTGGTGCGGCGGCCCCGCCGTGAGAGTCAAGGAGCTTCAATTGGGGCCACTCGGTGTCGAGCCGGGGGGCCCTTGCAGCTGGCGTCGTGGCGCCCCTGCGCGTCGGCTTGTTTTGGCTAGTGTATTCTTTCTGCTGCAGCTGACTCGCATCATCGCCGTCGGCTGGCCCGTGAGCTTTTGCACGACGAATTTGGGCTTTCATGTCTCTGCGGCGGGACATCCTGTCCGAGGTGGTGCTGTTCGCTCGCCCAGAGCGCCCCGCTTCGACTTTTCGTCTGGTGCTGTCGCGCTGGAAGGAGGAGATGGAGCTGGTCGAGACGGCGAACCGCCCTCTCTTGGCGTTGCGTCAGCTCTACCGTGGGAGTCTGGACGACAGTCTACTGGACCTGGCCGACTGCTGGGGCCAGGGGATCGCGCCCGACAACTTGGACGGGGACCTCTCTCGGCGGGTGCTGGGAGAAGTTCGTCGCCAGTCGCCGCCGTCGACTACACCCTCACGAGGGGCCGCGCTTCTGCGGCTGCGCCCTGCCGCCACTGCGGCGGGCAATCAGTCCCAGCCCACCTTCAAGCAGAGGGTGGCCGAACTTCGGAGGAGGAGTGCTGGCGGAAGTGGACAGCTGCCGGACAGGGGCGAGACGTTCCCAGCTCAATGGGACCGAGTTGCCCTACCTCCCCCGGGGGGCCAGACCTGTGAGTGCGAGGTCTGCGTCGCCTCGCGTGGCACAGGAGTTGGAGATGTTCAAGGAGGACGTTGAGAGAGGATGGCGAGGCTTGCGTTCAGGCCTGCGAGATGCGCAACTACGTGGACCCGCATTTCCGCAAGAAGAAGGACATGTTGCAGCTGGCCCGAAGGATGGCTTTAGCGGGGATGCTGTGCCGCACTGCAGCGAAGGTGGACGAGGTCGGGCTCTTTTGCGCCGCGAAGAAGGCGGAGCTTGTGGAGAACGAGCCCGAGGTGACGCTGAGGTTGCTGTTCGACCAGAGGCGCTCCAACATGCGATGGCGGTCTCCCCCGCGGTGCGCCATGGGCGGTGTCAGTGCGATGTCGTTCTTGGACGTGTCCGAGGAGATGAAGAGGATGGCGTGACCATGCGCTTCGGCACGGGCGACCTTCCCGACTTCTACTACACGCTGGAGCAGGGGGAGGAGCGGGCGCCGTTCTTCGCGCTGCCCAGCGTGTCTGGCGACGCGCTGGACGCGCTGCTCCCCGAAGGCTCGTCTCTGCCTGGGGGCGGGCTGCTTTGATGGGCTTCTCTTGGGCGTGCTGGATGGCTCGGACGACCGTGGAGGGCATCTTCAATACTGGGCCCCAGGTCGGGTTTTCCTCGCTTTCAGACGGCCAACGCTTGGCCGAAGGCGGGCCTTTACCCCATCTCAGTCGGGAGCTACATGCTGCGCACTACGAGTACATCGACGACTTTGGCATCATGGGCCTGGGCTTCCCGACCCAGCCTGGCCAGGAAGCGGCGACGACGGTGGAGGAGATCTGGTTTGGTGCCGAGGAGTTGGTGGTTTCCGCGGGCTTCAAGGTGCACAAGGATGCTTGCTCGGTGGGCGCTCGCGTGATCGGTGGCGATTTTCCCGGGACTCGCCTGGCGCCGAGCCAGGGCAAGAAGTGGCTGGCGGTCTTCGGCACGCGGGAGATCCTGATCCACAAGTGGGAGCTACCCGACACCGTCGCGCGGATCGTTGGCATCCTGTCCTGGGGCTTCCTGATCTGCCGTGGGGCTCTGAGCGTCTTCGCGGAGGTGCACTCCTGGTGCATGGAGTTCCGGGGTGGACCTCGGCGCGAGGTCCCACGGGAAGTGCTCTGGGAGTTGGCTGCGGCCGCGCCGTTGGCGCCGCTGATCTCTGTGGACCTCTCGACGCCCTGGGGCCCGACGGTGATGATGCTCGGCGCGAGCCTCTACGGTGGTGCGCTCATGTCTACGGTGGCCACAGTGGAGGAGCAGCGTCGAGAGGCGCGATATGCTGTTCGAGGAGGCTGGACCGTTTGGACGGGCATCTCCCCGTCCTGGGCGGCGGACGCCTGGTGCGAGGGGGAGGCCTTCAGACGCGTGGGCGCCGACGTTGAGTTGGGCACCCGGATCCGAGTTCCTCCTGCGCACGAGTGCTGGGGCGACATCGCTCGGTGGAAGGAGGTTGTGCGCTGGCGATGGGATGAGAAAGAGCACATCAACCTGCTGGAGATGCGCACGGGGGTGGCCGCAGCGAGGCGCTCGGCCCGCACCCGTGCGAGCTGGGGGAAGAGGCACCTACGCATCACGGACTCTATGGTCTGTCTCGGCGGCTTCAGCAAGGGCAGATCGGCCAGTCGGCCCATTCTGATTTTGTGCAGGAGAACGGCCGCCCTCGACCTCGGGCGCGGCATGCGGGAGTACTGGCGCCGGGTGCCGTCGGACCGCAACCACAGCGACGGGCCGAGCCGAGGTTTTCCGATTGGCCAGGCCCCGAAGGAGCGGGGGGCGGACGAGCTGGCGTTGCCGGAGACGGTGGCTTCGAGGATCGAGGCCCTGGCGGACTTGGCGGCGGTGGACCCATTTCAGCCGCTCAGGATGGGCGTCTCGATCCCGGTGAAGGTGCTGCGCTTCGTCCACCTCTGCAGCGGCTACGCGCGCATCGGGGACCTGGAGGACTGGCTGCTCAGGATCGCGGGCTCGCGGGGCTACCTGACGATCTGCACCAACGTGGACATCGGCTTCGGGTCGGAGTTTGACCTGGTGGACGAGGTCAACGTGAGGGGGCTGGAGCTGCTGGCGGAAGTGGAGACGGACGGCGGATACTCAGGCCCTTCATGCTCTACCTGGTCGCGGGTTCGCTTCCAGCCTGGAGGCCCCCCTCCGCTACGTCTGCGACATCAGCTGCGGGGTCGGCCGGGCTTGCGAGGGGACGACGCGAAGAAGGTGAAGCTTGGGAACGCGCAGTTGCTGAGCAGTTTGAGGATCTTGAAGCCGATCGGCCTCGAGGGCGGCTCGGTGTCCGTCGAGCATCCTGCCGATCCGGGTTGTCCGCCGTTTCCTTCGATCTTCGTGACCAAGGAGCTGATGGACTGGGGGGCGCAGTTGGGTGCCTACCGAGTGACCTTCCCGCAGTGCATGCGGGGCTGCCCCGCGCTGAAGTTGACGACGCCCACGGTTTGTGCGCCCCTGCGTGCGCGAAAACCATTCGGCGAGCCTCTGCGGCAAGGACGAGAGCGGCCGTTTTCGGACCAGGGTGGCCCAGGCGTGCTCGTCCGACTTCTGCAGGATGCTGGCGGAGCGCCATGTGGACGCGACGCTGACCATGCAGGAGAGGCGGGAGGCCGACCTGACCGAGAGGGCCGTGGAGCAGTTGATCTCAGAGACCCTGGAGCGCAGGCGCCGGGACGCTACGTTGCTGGAGTCGCTACCTGCAGCTTCTCTTCGAGCCTCGGGCTGACTGAGGACGAAGGCCCATGTGCGATGGGCCGGCCCCCGCCCATGCCCGACGATGTTCGAGCGCAAGCGCTACAAGATTACGCAGACATGATGCAAGATCTACGGGATTGGGCTCAGCAGTGGTACAGCGACCTCACGCAGCGTGCCACCGACGGTACCGAGTGGCAGGAGTGGCGCGTGGCCTTCATGACGGATGTACTTCTGAGCGGTTCCAACGAGGCCCTGAGGCGCCTACTCATCAACGGGTTCCCTCGCCACACGATCGCCGACGTCATCAGAGATCTCTGCAGCAGCGCGTGGAGGCAGACGCAAGATCAATGGGGGTCGCTTCATTGCGAGCTTCCGAGAGGCGACCCCGACGGAGAGACAGCGGCTACAACAGGAGCACTGGACGGAGCTGGAGGATCTTCGTGCGATATTTCGGGTTCGGCTTGGTGACCAGGCGCCTGACCGTCGACGCTCGCCACCTCCCAGGGAGCCCGACTCGGATGATGAGCAGCCTTCGGCTGGGACCGCGTGCAGGTCCAGTTCCCCGCGGTGGTCTGTGCTCCTGGGTTGGTTGCTGCTACCTTTTCTATCAGACGCCGTCGGTGAAGAGAGGCTTCGCCACCACGCTCAGCACCGCAAGATGGGCAACACGCACCGCAGGAACGACGCGGAGGGCTCGCATCTACAGCAGGCGCAACGGCGGGAGAGAGCTACCCATGGGCTGGCCCTGCTGCCGTTTTCGGTATCCACCAAGACGGCGCTGGGCTGCTACGTTCCCAACGTGCGCCGCTTCCTGGACTTCGCGCTGGAGGTGAACCTGCCGATGATGAGCCGGGGGGAAATCGACGACTCCATCCTTTGCTACTTGGACCGCCTGGTCGAGGATGAGGAGGTGGGCCCGCGCCGAGGAGATTTCGTTGTGCATGGGCTCGCCTACGAGTGGCCTGAGCTCTCGACGGGGCTGCCGAGGTCCAACCGAGCTCTTCGAGCTTGGCATCGACTGCACGTGGCAGGAGAAGGCGGACCTCAGCCTCTCGAACTCTGGGCCGTGCTGGACGAGGCCGTGAGATTGGCCGAGAGCGTGGAGGCCGCTGATGCCGCCGAGGTCGCCATGGACGCCTACCTCAGGTCCGCGGACCTGATCGCCTTACAGGCGGCTGACATCGTGGTCGACGTGGGCGAGGCGGGCGAGCAGATCGTGGCTCTACGACTTGGGGCGACCGAGCGTGGCGAGCGGACCGATACGGGCGCGAGGCAGGGCGTGCTGATCGACCGTCGGCATGTGAGCGACGTGCTCGTGCGCAGGAAGTCCGAGCGAGGCCCCTCGGACCGAGTCTTCAGCTGCTCGGTGGATGCCTGCCGCCAGGCGCTGAGGAGAGCCTGCGACGATGTCGGTGTCGAGCAGTTCCCGCCACGCGCTGCCAGGCTCCCGGGGCCGAGTCATGACGCGGCGACGGGCTGCAGGGCGGCGTGGGCCATCCAGCGGCGCGGGCGGTGGGCTTCAGAGAAGAGCGTGCTCGGGCGCACGAAGACGCGCGCTCTGGTGGCCGCCCGCGCCGCGCTCCCGCCAGACATCCTTGAGCGCGGGGGGCGACTGATGCAGGAGAAGAGTTGTCGCCCTGCAAAGGCTCGTGAGTGATTCGTTTCGCATTGTGGATGGTCTATCGATTTCTTGGAGCCTCGCCGAGGCAATGAACGCGCGACGGCTGTGGGAGGCGCCCGAACACTCCCACCCAGCCCGCCAGGCGCTAATGCAAGCTAGGCGGTGGCGTGGGACATGATGCGGTGTCTGTTTCAGAATTTCAGGTTTTGCGGCGCTGACACCGCCGTCGCCCTCTGCCGCCGCTCTTGGCGGCATCGCGCCCACGGCTCAGGCAGAAAATAGAGAGTTCAGTTTAGGCTGGCGCCGCCTTCCTCCGCCCCCCGCTTGGAGAGAGACAGTGGCCCGTTGCAACCAATGAAGTTTTCGGGCCGCGCCCCCCCCCCCCCCCCCCCCCTCCCCCGACTCCTAAGTGGTCGGCGGGCGGGGGGGGGCTGGGGCGGCGCATAGTTAGGTGGCGCCGTTCTGACATAAAGCGCTATGTTTGCGTTCTCCGCTCAAGTTCCCCCCCCCTTTGCCTCTTTCGCTCCCCATTCACTTGCCTCGTCGCAGCTCTGTGGGGGCGCGACGCGGTGTGCGCCGCAGAATCTCAGAATTTTGCGGCGCAGACGCCGCCGTCACCCTCTGCCGCCGCTCTTGGCGGCATCGCGCTCACGGTTCAGGCAGAAAATAGAGAGTTCAGCCTAGTCTGGCGCCACCTTCCGCCGCCCCCCGCTTGGAGAGAGAGACAGTGGCCCGTGCATCTAAAACATAGTTTGCAGCGCATGGCTGTCGCCGCGCAGGTTGCGTTACATAGCTTGTACCGCACAGCTTGCACCATATAGCTTGCGCCCCATCGCGCGTGCCACGTGGTTTTTGTTTCACCACATAGCTTGCAGCGCATGCATCGCGCACGCGCAGAAATCATGACGTAGCTTGCAGCGCATTTGCTGCGCAGCGAGGGTTGAGTGGCCGTCTGCCGCGGTGGCCCACACCTTTTGGCTGGTTCCCGGCCGTGGGCGCCCCGCATGCGGGTGGGCGTTGCCCGGCGCATGGTTGGTGCCCGGCCGTGGGCGCCACGTGAGCGCCCTACGCGTTGGCTCTGATCTTTGTTTTTGTTTCGGCCGGTGCCTGGCCGTGGGTGCCTCGTTGGCGCCCCGTGCTCGGGGTGGGTCTGCCTGGTTTTCGTGATGGAGCGTCACTTCCCTCCCCCTCATCATCAACGTCATCATCGCCATCATCATCACCATAATCATCATCATCATCCGCATAAGCAACATCATCAACATCAGCACCCATCAACAGCATCATCATTATCATTTTCACCATCATCATCATCAACATAAGCAACATCATCATGAAGCCCTTTGTGGATCACATTGCGCCAGATTTTGCGCATGAGATGAAGGCGGCTTGGCACAGTAATCCGGGGAACTATGCCACAATTACTTTGACCACGAAGGACTTCACGTGGAAAGTCATCAAACACCCCCAGAAAGAATGCCGCTGACGAGATTCCTCAGGATGACGACACAGGGAAAGCTACGCACACCGTTGGCGGGGTTACTTCCAAGCTGTCGGGGAAGAAGATTACTTCTTATGAGGGGCGTCAAGCAGATAGATCTTCCGACTCGTATTCTTCGAACGCGGCAGGAGATCATCGACGCCGTTCGCAAGGTAAAAATTGCGCTACATCGCCCGCGACACCCATGAGACGAAGCTGTGCATCAACAGTGCCCCAGACAACCTTAAGGACAAGTGGAACGAAGTGGATTTCCGAGAGGCAGTGGCGAAGAGGCTGGAGGCGTGGAGTGCTGCCCAGCGGCAGCGGCGCGGGTAACACCCATGCGACAAGGAGGCTGGGGTACGGCATGAGGAACACTCGCGATGTGAATGTTGTGGCTCTGAAGTGCAGTGGGTTGTCTGCGAGGGAGTACTCTAACATGTTATCTTCTTTGGAGTTCGTTTTGGATGTATTACTCCGGCAAGAATTTACTACGCCTGGGCCCGGAGAATCGCGCGGTTGTGTTTCGCTACCAGTTATTTTCCATAGCGGCAATCCCCCGAAGATCTCTACAGCTGCGAGACTACATGTTCGACCAAGTTGCTCAGGAGTTTCGGGGAGACGGGGGCCTCGTGTTATCTGTGGGCGCCAATTGCGACATGGGTGAAAAACCTCAACGATACGGAGAACAACGCGGTGGGCAGCTTCTCTAAAGGTGTACGCAGCGACCGAGGATAACATGCGGTGGGAAAGTGTCTGACGCACGAGTAGTCTATCGCCAGCACCTTCTTTGATGGACATCAGCAAGGTAATTGCTTCAGCTATTCAACGGGTGCGCTAACTCAAATCGATCCCACCATAACTCAGGTCACGAAAAGAAATTGGTTTCGAAACATACGAGTTGCAGAACTACGAGTATACGGACAAACCGTAGGAACATTGTCTTCAATATCCAATGCGAACGCAAACAGAGGTGGGGAGTTCGCAAACCTATTAGCTGGATTGTGGCCAAGCCTTTAAATTACGTGGGAAAGCTGGCAAATACGATCGACGAGAACATGACCATCCAGGACACGTCCACGGCTATTGGGGGCGCGGCCGGACACGCCGGCACAAGCGCGTCGCGACGGCACCAGGCCAAGGCAGATCTGCAGCATTTGCATAGCCTGGAGTACCAATGGCTGTCCAAAGCAGCATGCAGTAGACGTGTTTGGAGGGAAGGGCGCAGGCTACAAGAACTTGCGCGCCGGCGCATATCATCATAAGCCTTATCGGTTTTACGCAGAGGTGGATGGGGCAATGCATCCAGGAAAGGACAAGGATGCCACTATAGCCTTACGCACCCTGGCAGTGGGCAAAGTCGCAACGCGCCCGACCAGATATTGGCTGATTTGGGCAACTATTACAGCGCTCTCTCTTCAATGAGGGCACCGAGGGCGCCAAGCAGCTGCCCCCATGGATTAGGCCGCCCTTTCAAGATACAGACATGCCCATGTCTTGTATCTTATCCAGCTTCGCGGGCCTACCCCCTCGGAAGATTTGCACCTCGGACAACGTGGTTGGGGAAATGCTGTGCGCGCTCGTCGGCGCTGGGACTATAGCCGCCCCTGGGAGCTCGGAGATTCTGGGCGACGAGTTGCCCGAAGGCCTGGGCAGTATGGACGCAGTCGCCTGCTTCAGTTCGACGGTGGGTGAGGGGGTGCGCTTCTCGCCGGTACCGGATTTGCTATATTTGAGCCCGATAGTAGATTGCTTATGCCACTCGGCCACCGCATGGTTAGGGGTTGCACATGAGACGATGCCGAATGGCACGGCTTCTATTTTGGCTTCGAGATTGTCCTCATGCACAAAATCCAGGACCTGGTGGTGGGGGGGGACAATATCAGTGTCATTTACCAGGGCGCCTGGGGATGTGTTTTTTTTGACGCTCGTATCAATGCATACCATAACGCAGCCAACGACTTATTAGCTCAATCTTCGCGTTCGCGGTTGAGGCGCGCGAAGAAAGTTTTTAGCGAGTTCTCGCGGACTGGCTCGTTAACGAGGCCATGGATTGCCATCCTTGTGTGACGGGCGCACACTATGGATTCACACTTTCTTGTTCTCGGTGCGTGCTCGACGGTCCGGATATCTCATGCGTCGACGCATGCTCTGGCGAAGTGTGGCTGCCGGGCAAACAGCGCGTGGTTGAGCACCCAATGTATATCATCAAGAAGGCATTCGAGAATGACATGCAGGGGCATTTCGTCGCATTCGATTTTGACTTTCAGGGCGCCGCGAAGAGGCGACGACTTCTCGCTGAGGACGCGCCGGTCTGCGTGGCCCGCTCAAGACGTCGCGTGTGCCGCCCTCGATCAGATCATCAAATTCTCACGGAATTGGCTATTCTCACGATGTCGGTGCGCATATCATGGCAAGACATGCTTAGGCCTATCTCTATCTTACCAGTTCTGAGGAAAACAGTAGGGGGAGCTTTGTCAGAATACGGAAACCTACCACACGCCCATCGAAAACAATTTGCAATTTGCGTACCGTGAAGGGCATGGCGCTGTCGACCTCGTCATTGATAGGGGGAGGGGTGCGTCGTGGCGATCGCGGGCATTCCCAAAGCATTTGACGACGCGACGCATGTGAGAGTGTTGGAGGCGCTTCTCAAACGCAATATCCCGCGGAGTATTTGCGCTTGGCTTCTCCAGCATATGAGGGCCTTCAGCTTCAGCTTTGAAGGCGCGCTTATTGGATTGCGAGGCCGCAGTTCCCCCAGCTACTAGGGCCATTCCTCAGGGCACAAAGTGGGGGCCCAAGATTTCCATTCCGACTTTCAGTGACTGTCTACAGACGGTTTGGGGCAGATGCCAGGAAGTGGGGTCGGGTGCGTTATTGGCGTCTGCGCAGCGCTGTCAACAACGCGCGCGACGGACGTGAAAACGTTGCGTTGACATGTGCATGCCCTTCGTGGCGTGGAGCGAGAGCATCCTCATATTTTCACACGTGTGGCAATATTCAGACACAGTATTCAACATGTTATATGGGGCTCTGGAGGGGCACGGATGGAGTTTACCACGGGGCCGCATCATATACATATATGACACAACGCCATGCTAGCCAAGAAAACCATGGGAGGGCACGGACATGGCGGAGGGAGGAGGGGGCATGAAGATCACGGGGGCATGGGTGAACCCGAAAGGACAAACACACATGGACACCAAAAGCAAAGTCAGTTGCATGACGTCGGCTGCGCAGGCCGGCAAACACCTCCTTTGCTCGCGGTCTGCAGGCAGGCGCAAGCGACTCCAGCTTGTGGCAGATCTGTCCAGGTCATGTGCTTTGTGGTGCGCTCCGTGCCGGGCGATAGGGCAGGGGGGCATGCGGTTCTTCGCGGGAGGCAAAACCAACATCTTGGCCAGTACCTCCTTCTCGACCCCCTTTGGCATGATGCCGATGCCGCCTGCGCCGAAAGACTCAACTGGGAGATCCGCAGCGCCAAGACAACCCAGGGAACGCCAGACTTGGATGTGCA